CCACCGCCCGGCCTGTGTTCAATATTTTATTTTTCATTATTATTCTCAGTCATCAACTACAACTTTTAGAATTAACATACAGAAGCAGGTATAAAGACTTCCCCCTTTCCTTTCCCGTAGCATACTGCAGAACACAATAAGCATCTGTTTATTACTGAATGATTATTGTTTCATTAAAGACGTGTTTGCCTTACAAAATTTAAATGTTTCCCTCAGGTTGTGACTTTACTAGGCAAAATGGAACGTCTTCGAAGCTCTCCTCTTCATGCTAATATCTCTACTGCTCTTGATAGACACTTGGAGTCGATTCACATTGTACAGTCACGTAGAAAGGATGAAATTGTTAATGCTTCAAATCGGCAAAGACAAGGAGTGCCTAGGTGCCAAGATGACAGAGGTATAATGTTTGTTTGTTTGAATTTTATTTATTTATATTTTATGGATGAGTGCTCTGCATGTATACCTGCATGTCAGAAGAGGGGGGCATCATATCCTATTACATATAGTTGTGAATCACTATGTAGTTCCTGGGAACTGAACTCAGGACCTCTGGAAGAGTAGCCAGTTCTCTTAACTGCTGAGCCATCTCTCCAGCCCAAAAGACTAGATTTCTAAAATTAATACTTATCTAAAAAACAAATTAAATTCCAAAGTATGTTGTTCTCTTTTGTTAATTTTATGCACTTAATTATAATATCTGTCTTAAGATAGATACAGTCTCTTTTATCAAAGCATAGTTATTGCTAAGTACTTCATTAGCTTAACCATCATTTTTGTAAATACATAATGTTTGATCATTTAGTAGCAACAGCACTGAGCTGCTTAAGATGTAAGGGGTATTTAAGTGAATAATCAGCAATAACCATATTTATTTTGCAGATGTTTTTGCTCTTGCTACAGCAATTAAAGAGATGTGTGTAGCTACTCGGAAAGCACGCACTACCCTATGGTGTGCACTGCAGATGACCTTGCCAAAAACAGCAAGTACATCGGGCCAAGCTGATATGGAAAAGGCTTTCCAAGAGCTAGTAAATTGTGAAGATAAAGTCCATGAAAGCATAAATAGTAGCAATCCAATGAACCAGAGAGGTGAAACAAACAAACATTAAGGAGATGCCAGCAGAAGGAAGAGTTAAAAAGCTGAGAAGTAAATGTATCAAGATGTGCTAAAATTTTTAATGAACTTGTCAAACTTTCAGTACATTAATTTTCTTTCAGATTTAAAGTTAATACTTCAATGAAGTCTAACTTCTATTTAAAAATCTGCTTGGAATGAATCAGATACAGTTTAAAGTGAACTCAAAGGTAAAATTGATTACTCTAGGAGTTCTGAGTAGTCAAAGATAGCAAGTTTATTTAATTAAATATCCCCTTACAGCTAAAAATTGCTTAAATCCATTCTTCAGTGCAGGTAAATGCAAATGTGAAATTCTTCTAGGAGATAAGTTTCATTTAGTTCTGCCTTAGTAAGTATAATTCCAAATAATGAGTCTAAGTGACTGTAACCCAATTATGGCTACAGTTTAGTAACCAAGACAAGTTTTGATTGTGATTTAAAAGTATTTTCCTTACAAAACTGGATAATACCTAGGAAACAAAGGAAAACAAGGATAAACCCAATATTCATGTAAAAATTTAATATTTAAAATACTACCATATTTATGAATTTGAAATCTTAGTGTCTAAGTATATGGAGGGAAATGCATCTGATTCTCCTAAATTAGTGATGAAAGTGCCAGTGTGAAAACCATGCAAGTTACTGACTATAAAACCTGTTCAAATCATTAGTGTATATTCTTTAAATTTTAATTATACTATCAATTATTAAATATTTCCAATTTCAAAGTATTTGATTGAATCAAAATAAAACATTCCTTTATCTGGATCTTTTAGACTCGATGCCTAGTAACTAAAATAATGACTCTTGTTTTAATACCCTTAGTTTGCTGTCTTTGATGAGGGTATCACGAAGTTCTCAAATGTATTTTTTAGGTTAATCTTTAGTTTAGTTCTGCCAATTAGTTAAGTGTATATTTTGTGTAGTTATGTTCATTTGTTTGCTTCTGTATTTTTTAAAAAAGAACACTTGAAAGCTTGGCTTTTTCTGTTTCTCATCACTTACTATCTTTGTATTAGAACCCGAATAATTTATTCATTAATATGAAATGTTGGTATTATGTGACTCAGAAGATCTTGGGTTTTAAAGTTTCTAGCATGAGTTAAACTATAATATAATGTACTGATGAAATTTAATTGAAATATCCTTGACTAGAAACACTGATGTTTTGATGTTAGTGTTTTTTCTTAGCTTTAGAAATCCTGGTATTGAAAAAAGAGTGTAATCACACCACATAAATTTTCTTTAGATGATGTGCGGAAGAAACTGATTGAGAATGCAGGAGTAACTGTAGGGAGAAACATTTTGATCACTGATATGCTCAGAACTACCAAATGAATTACATTGAGGGTAGTCAAATAAAATAGACCACTCCACCACAGTCACTGCATAGAAAGTGGTTAAGTTTGACATAAAACATGTTGAATGTTATGAAAACAAATATTGTACTGAATTTAGTCTCTCAGGAAAAAAAATAAATTACTTTGTTGAAAATACTTGGTTTCATTTTTTTACATTTGTGTTAATTTCTAACATTGTATTATTTATGTCTGAAAGTCAAATGAATTTCATTTAGCTGATAAGAGCCTTTCTGGTGTAAATTTCATTATTAACACATAATAAGAATACTGGTAGATGATTGTGATTCAAATTAGATTCCACCTGATCTCTTTCTAAGATGAAACTTAATTTGTCCTGTTGAATAAAAACTCGAGAGAGACCTTTACAGGACAGCAGGACAGTGGTCACAAATAAAATACCAGTCTGTTAAGGAAAACCAAACCCTGGGCTGGGATGAAATTCAGCTGGGTTGCTCCTGGGCACTGTATAAAAGCATGTGTGGTGCCTGTCCATAATCCAGCATTAGTGGAGTGAGGGCAAGAGGATCAGAAAGTCAAAGCTATCATCAGTGACAAAATTTTTGAGGCTACATTTAGCACTTGGGGGAGTCGGGAGGTCGAGGCAGGAGAATCAGAAGTTAAAGACCAGCCTCAGCTAAATTACAAAGGCCAGCAGGGGGTATCCTGTCACAAGCAGGATCTTTGAAATTTTGCTTTAGTGTCATTTTCTATAGTATAGATCAGTGCTTCTCAGCCTGTGACTCCCCACAGGCAAATCTCTATCTCCAAAAAGTATTTACATTACTATCCTTAACAATACAGTTATGAAATAGCAACAAAAATAATTTTATGGAACTGCACTAAAGGGTTTCCTAGCGGCCCTGGAGAGGCTTATAATGATCTGCTGTTCCTGCCTCCCCAGGGCTGATATTACAGGCATGTACCACTACACCCTGCTAGATGGTTCTTACGTACTTCTCAACTGCAGCTTACAAAAATATTTAAAATTATCACACAAAATCTGCAGTGAAACTGGTAAAGGTGTTCTCTAATTCAAAGGAATACCTGTTTTCTTTTTAAGTTTGTGTGTACATGCACACATATCTGCCACAGTGGGTGTGGGGAAGAGAGGACAACTTTGTGTAGTCAGTCTCTCCTAACACCATGTGGGGTCCTGGAGAAAACTCATCAGGATTGTTAGCACATGCCTTTACCCACTCAACTGACCTAGCCCATGGTTTTATTTTTTTCTTTAAAATATTTACTTGGGCTGATCAGTGGTGGCACATGCCTTTAATCCCAGGGCTCGGGAGGCAGAGGCAGGCGGGTCTCGTGAGTTCGAGGCCAGCCTGGTCTACAAAGTGAGTTCCAGGACAGCCTCCAAAGCCACAGAGAAACCCTGTCTCAAAACACCCTCCCCAAAATAAAAATACTTAATGTGTATGTCTGTGTGTTAGTAAGCATACATAAACACATAGAATAAAAAGTTTTTTTTAATTAGGTGTCAAGGAAGACACCACATACAAATTTATATAAAGGCATTTGAAAATTACCTTAAGTCATTCTATCAGTATCCTTTCTATTTGAATATGTGGTTACAAAATTTTTTTGAGGAATTACTATTATAATTAAAATCCCACTGGGGGCTGGAGAGATGGCTCAGTACTTAAGAGCACTAGCTGTTCTTCAGAGTATTTGGTTCCAGGTTTGATTCCCAGCACCCAGAAGGTGGCTCGTAGCCACCTGTACCTCCAGTTCCAGGGAATCCTACCCCCTCTTCTGGCTTCTAATGGCACTGCATGCATACATGCAGGCAAAACACCCATACACATAAAAAATAATTTTTAGCTGGGTTAATACCAGCACTTGGGAAGCAGAGGCCAGCCAGCCTGCTCTACATAGCTAGGACAGCCAAGGCCACACAAAAAAACTCTGTCTCCAAAAACAAAACAAAAAGAAACAGTAAGTGAATAACCTTATCCAAGCCTAACAATTGGTTTGGTATTTAAGATTAGTTAGATGTTGGATGTACACTATAAAATATAGAGTCCCAGAGTTAGATGTTGGATGTACACTATAAAATATAGAGTCCTAGAAGAACTGACTGTTAGCAAGGTCAGGAATTCAAGGGAAACAGGTTTCAAAGCAGGAGGCAGCCTAGACTAGGCAAGATCCTGTCTCAAAAACTAGCAAATTGAAATAAATACCTTTAAAGCATGGATATAATCTTGACTCCTTCAGAAACCAAAATCAAGGTGAGAAGGAAGTCCCAAAATGCTGTGGGTCTCTGCTACCACCACATAAAGGATCAAGACTAGCAGCAGTACCTCAAAGGACTTCAAAGCCAACTTACGCAAGCTCCAAAAAACAAGGTAATCCTCTGAGCTAAGCTTTACTTCACAAGAAAATTGGAAACAAATTTAAGAGAGACGTTTCACTTGCAGAGTATGTCTACAGGGCTGACCAGATGATAAAAATCATTCCCAAGGGACCAGTCTCATGAACTTTTCCACCAGCAGCTGGAAAAAACAAGGCAGACAACACTGAATTAAATAGTTTATTTTAAAAAAGGGTGGTTATTTTTGCAGTGCCATGGTTGTAGGATAAAGAGGTAGCACTATCTCCTTTCCTTAACCATGTTTGCTTTTTCTTCTGCACACAGGTAGCTAATGATACAAAATCAAGTCAGAAGACTCTCTCCAAATACTAGTAAATACTAAGTTTTATAGGCCACATATGGTCTCAGTCATGAATGTCTTTCTTTTAAAAATGTAAAAAAAATTTTTAGTTTGCCCCATACAAAAAAATACTGGGCAAAACTTGGCCTGTGAGTGGTAGTCTTCTAACCCCTGGTATAAAATATCTACTGTATTTTGTTAGAGAAATTGTTCTCTTGAGGCTTTTGATAGCTGTTGCCCAAAGTCAAGCAAAGAAGGACTTTATTAACAGCTGGATGTGGCTGTGACAGAAGTAGGAATGGAGTCTCTGCTCATCCTTGACTCTCGCAGTTTGTCTACTCTCTCATTTAAGTTTGTTAACCACCAACTATATATCTTGTGTTAGCAAAATTTCACGTGTTTCTCTAAAAGAGTAATTCCTTCGGTTTCTCCAAACCAGGAATTATTAGGTCTTAATACTCAGGTTGCAGGTGTGTCCAACATGTGGCTGAGGATAGCTGTAAATTCAGCCTACACAAAATCATAAACTTACTTTTAAAACATGATCTTTTTGCAAGTTTTAAAAAAAGTTGTCACAATATCAAAAGGTTGGACATACCTGCAGAATAAATCACGATTAAAGAGGGGAATCAAGGGAACTCATGAGTTATTTAGCTAACAATGATGACCTTATATCCCAAATTGACGTATACTTCCTAATGAGTTATCTGTTTTAAAAGATACTTGATTCTCCCATAGGTTAAGTTTTTCTTCAGTACTGGGTATCAATCCCAGGGCCTCGTGTGCTAAGTAGGCACTCAACACAGCTACAGTTTGAGCCCAGATCTATCTCACCCCAAATACCATCTTCCACTTTCCTAATCTGATGTCGCATCAAATCTGGATCTAGGTAGGGCTCTTCATTAGCTATTTCTGCCATAAAATACTGCTACTACAAGCCATAATCCTAAAGCTGAGGAACTGAGTTCAAGGCCAGCCTAGACTACAGAATGAGACCCTGTTTCAAAACAAAACAAAAACCTCTACATTTTGAGGCAAATGTTGCCACAGGAGCAATTTGCACTTTTTCCTTTTTTTTTTTTTTTAATCTCAGAAGGAATGATCATGTTTTTCTGAATCTGGCTAGTTATACAAAGTGAGGGAAGACCTTTTTTTAAAAAGCCAGAAAAGCACAGGATTTCAGTACTAAAATAGAAAGGTTACCCTAATTCCAGGTCTTTGGTAAAGATACTAACTAGAATTGATTGCCCACACCACCAAACATGGCACATTTTGTAGTTACAAGTGACTGTGATTTTCCTTTTGCACATGTAAACGGAAGGGGAAAGCCTTAGGAAATTTTGAGAAATGCATTAGACACAGTTCTCTTAAATATAGACGCACAATCAATTCACGGGTGGAAGGAACAGAGTGACCGAGGTTATCGCTTGCGTTCCCCTCTCTGTGTCCGTTTCTTTTCCTTCTCCTTGCGCTCCTGCTTGGCTAGTTTGTCCTTCTCCCTCTGAAGTTTGTCCTGTTCCTTCTTCCTTTGGGACTCATCCCGAAGAGAGTCTCGCTCCAATTTCCGAGCATTTAGAACATCTTCTACGTTGGTGTTTCGGAACAGAGCTACCAGTGAGTCAAGGAATTAAGGTACACATCCTACAGGCAGTCTGGATGCCCCTTCTCTACACGGAGTTCTAAATGCACTCTAAGTACTCCTAGTATAAAAAAGAAGCTTTGGTTTGGACTCACACCCATGCATAGCTCCAGTTCCAGGGAATCTAGTGCCCGATGTGGCCTCTGTGGGCAGCAGATAGTAAGCCGTGTATGTGTGTGTGTGTGTGTGTGTACACTGGCAAAACACTTATATGTTAAAAAAAAAAGAAAGAAAAGCCTTGGTTTGATGGAACTCCTAAAAGCTACAAGTACAGACCTAAAATGTTTCTTGAATAAAAAAAAAAATCTCATAGTACTCAGGAGGCAGAGGCAGGTGTTTCACGGAGAAACCCTTTCTTCAAACACCAAAACCAAATAAAAAAAGTCTAGTTTGGACAACTAAGCCTGAACTTTGAAATATTTTATAAAAATGAATTTCATTTACAAGGACATCTACAAAATATAAAGTTTATACTTACAAATAAAGTTGATCCAACTAAAAGAATAAAATCTCACTCCAAACTAAGTCCAAATAATCTTCTATAGGACAATATTGCTGTTAGCCTAGGGCAAGTCAGTAAAGACAGTAATACTGTTGCTGGAAAAATGCTTTTGCACTTGTCACTATTAAAAAGCTTTTGAATAACTAAGGTTTATTCTTATTGAATTTTGCTAATTTGACCTTTTTTTCCTAGAGTTTAAGTGAAAAAACCAGGTTATATCACAAAACTTAGAAAATAGCCAAAAACGTAATTCCTTATTTCTTCTAACTTAAAAACAAAATATCAGGAGCTGGAGAGATGGCTCAGCAGTTAAGAGCACTGGCTGCTCTTCCAGAGGACTGAGGTTCAATTCCCAGAATCCACATGGTGGCTCACGACCTTCTGTAACTCCAGTTCCAGGAGATCGGATGCCCTCTTCTGGCCTCTGGGGGCATCAAGCACACTCATGGCTTACATACATGCAAGCAGGCAATAAAAAGATAGAACCCACCAGGCACTCTCCTCTATAGTCTTGAAATGTGATATTTTTCTACATTAGGCTATAAAATAAATGAGTCTCCGGCTGAGAAGAGAGTTCAGCAACAAAGCCCATACCCAAGGCCCTGGGTCAGTCCCCCACACTAGAAACAAATTCCTGAGAGAATATCCGATAGCCCACTCTAACCCCTCACCTAGGGGTGAATTTCTAAATTTACCTTCTTAGGAAATACCTCAGAGTGACCTGTTCGTAGTGACCTTCATCAACACACATTTCAATACTGATTGTATTTTCAGCTTCACGTATTTACTGTGTTTTCTTTCCAGTTACAAGGTTTTTGAGAATAAAGATAAAACTTTAACATTTTAATTTCCTACCCCCAGTCCTGGGCAACTCAGAGCTCCAGGGAATAAAACTTTTTTTTTTTTGTTTTGTTTTTCAAAATAGGTTTTCTCTGTTTAACAGCTTAGCTGTCTTGGAACTCACTTTGTAGGCCTCAAACTCACAGGCATCTGCCTGCCTCTGCCTCCTGAGCACTGGGATTAAAGGCGTGTGCCACCACTGCCTGATGGGAATACAACTTTTTATTTTCTCTGAGAAATCCTTCTAGCCAATCTGGTGGTGGTGGCCCATGCCTAATTCCAGCACTCTGGAGGCAGAGGCAGAAGGATCTCTCTGAGTTCAAAGGCTACTCAGAGAAACCAATAAGAAAAAAGAAATTCTTCTAGCTGGATGTGGTGGCTCATGCCTTACAGGAGGTAGAGACAATTCAAGGACAGCCTCTGATATAGCCAGTTAAGAGTTTAGCCTGGGCTAAAAGAGACTCTTGTCTCAAAACAAAACAAAAACAAAAAACAAAAAACCAAGCCAGGTGAAGTTCAGTGTGGTGACCCATGACTTCCATCCCAGCACTCAGGGAGGCAGAGGCAGGTGACCTCAGAGTTTCAGAACACCCAGGACTACACAGAGAGAGACACTCTGTCTCAAGAAACAAAACCAAAAGGCAAGAAGCCAGGTGTGGCTATACATAACTATAAGCATAGCACTCAAGAGACAGAGACATGCAAAACTCTGTGAGTTCCAGGCAAGCCTGGTCCATAGAGAGAGCTTCAGGCTGGTCAAGACTAGAGTAGGAAAACATACTGAACAAAACCTCCATCCCCTTTGTTAGGTATGGCACATACTTTTAATCACAGCACTTGGAGGTGGAGGCAGAGACTAGGAATTCAGTCATTCTAGCAAGTTGGAGGCTGTACCCAGTGTGTGTTAATTTGTTATCTTTGGGTAGTGTTTGCTAAATTGGCTATCTGGGACTGTTCTAGGCATAGGGCTCCCAATACTGGCATGACATGACCTCCTTGGAGACAAACAAGGGATGGACAAAGAAAAGGATACATTTATCAGAACCAATGTTTGTTGTGGAGGCACCCGGATCATCTTTCTCATCTGCTTCGGTGAGTGACGTTAAGGAAAACCAGGTAGGCCTTACACATCTCAAATTGAGTTTGAAAAACAGTCAATAGACATGGGTAAGAGAAGCAAGCTGAATGCAATGAAGACAAGGTCACGGGGTGAGGGTAAACCCGAGAGACTCTAGGGGAAATGTCTGAAGCTTCTGTAAGATCCACTCCTAGATGCTAAAACAAAGTGGGAAGACCCACATTAGTATTTACCTAAAAGCAGGGGCAAGACAGACCCTGAAACAGCACAGCTCTAACACCAGGGGTGTGGAGGCAGGAAGATTAGGAGTTCAAGGCCAGTCATTCTCAAAGTTCAGTGCCGCCTGGGCAGAATGGGAGCATGCACACACACACACACACACACACACACTGTAATTCTCAGAGCTTCCAGGGACTTAAGTCCACATCCATGGATTCTTTTTTTTTTTTTTTTTTTGGTTTTTCGAGACAGGGTTTCTCTGTGGCTTTGGAGGCTGTCCTGGAACTCGTTTGGTAGTCCAGGCTAGTCTCGAACTTACAGAGATCCGCCTGCCTCTGCCACCAACGCCCGGCCACATCCATGGATTCTTATCTTCAGCCTGCTTTATATCAGAAACCAGGAAAAGCCCAGAAATCTTAGGATAGCTCACGCTTTAAAAACCCTTTTTGGAGCCGGGTGTTGGTGGCGCACGCCTTTAATCCCAGCACTCGGAAGGCAGAGGCAGGCGGATCTCTGTAAGTTCGAGACTAGCCTGGACTACCAAACGAGTTCCAGGACAGCCTCCAAAGCCACAGAGAAACCCTGTCTCGAAAAAAACAAAACAAAAAACAAAACAAAAAAAAAACCCTTTTTGGAAGCCAGACATGGTGATACATGCCTTTTAAGCTCAGTGACAGAAGGCGGAGTTTGGTGGATCTCTCTGTGAGTTTGAGGCCAGCCTGATCTACACAATGAGAATCTGTCTCAGAAAAAAAATAGTTTTGGAAGAAGGAAGTGTGATACTACACTCTGTATAAAAGTATTCGTGATGAGAGTCACCATGGACACACACCTCTGGGATGTTTGTGATGGATGTCCGTGTCTAGATGGATTAAACCTGAATGCGGGGGCTGCAGTCCTGGACTGGGTTCTCTCTCCTCCTAACTATGGATGCAATGTCACCAGCTGCCACCTGCTCCTGCCACCATGCCTTCTGCGCCATGATGGAGGGTATCATTTCAAACTGTAAGCCAAAAGAACCACTGCCTCGTTTCTTCTTTGTATTTGGTAATAGCAGTAAGTCACACAGTGCAAGGAACTGCAGCAGTTTCTTACTCTAGAAATAATATCAACAGTAAAGGCATTATCTGTTTCACACTGAATCTTTCTGGAGGATACCAGTTACGTGTTGAAGATATAAGTCCCATGTCAACTATTTTAACATCTTTTTGTGTTGTTATTATGTTTTCTGGTTTTAGACACAGGGTTTCTTTGTGTAGCCTTGACTGTCCTGAACTCACTCTGTAGACCAGGCTGGGATCAAACTCAGAGATCCGCCTGTCTCTGCCTCCAGAGTACTGGGATTAAAAGCGTGCGCACCGATGCCCAGCACAACATCATTTCTTAAAGCCACAAAGGCTCAGGATCACTGAAATTTTGAAAGGGAAAACTAATCTTCAGGGTGACGTAGACGGCCCAGCCTTCCTAGCGTGAGCCTCGGGAAATGGTGCAGAGCCTCCAGAAAGGATATTCTTCTTCGTCGGTCACGTTGGCATACTGGGCCAGCAGGGCTGCTTTCCTCTGCCTCTCCTCCTCAGACACCATCCTGGGCTTCACCACGATCTGTGCCTGCTTCTCAATCAAGGTGGCGATGGCCTGGACCTCATCTGTGAGGCGGGCGGAGGGAGACACAAGGAGAGCAGGATAGCCTGTGAGTGAAGGCACGCCCCCAAATAACTAACCCACCCAGTCAGTGCTGGTCCCCGAGGACTCGGGAGTCACCCAAAAGACAAGGCAAAGCTATGCCGGCTTTAGTGTGTGTGTGCACTGAAGTCCAGAGGACAACTGTGGGGAGTGTGAGCTATATACAATGAGATTTTCTTTCAAAAAAACCATGAAAGAGATACACATCACACTACAGTGAGGATGAGTGTGGTCAGGGTGGATTGGAAAGACACCAAAGGAAATCCATGATTTGTAAACCTTAAAGAGAGCCCCTGGGTGTTTCCTGATGCAAACTATCTTAGGAAGAGTGGGTACCCAAAGAAGAAAATCAAACTCTGGCTTCTTAACAGTTGCACAGGAAAAGGCCCTGGGATTGGACCTGAAACAGTCACTGAGACCAGTGAGATGGCTTGGTGAGTAGAGGCCTCTGTCATCCTCATGGCCTGAATTTGATCCCTACGACCCACAAGGTGGAAAGACAAATAGATCCAAATCCTGAAAGCTCTCCTGACCCTCATCCAGCTCAGGAACGTGCACACACACAGGCACATCACATGCACACTACACACTGACACTACATACAGACTACACACACCCCACACAGCTTACATAGAAGAATGAGTGTTAAGAGAAAGGCCAACTCTACCTTCTTTTTCTACTTTGGTGGTGACATTTTGCGTTTCTGACCATCGTTCCACAATTTCCTTACAGTTATCAAGGAGGGAATCTTCTTCCTAGTTGGAAAAGCATATCAGTTAATTTCCTGAAAAGCCTTCAAAACCAGCAGCAAGCCAAAGAAGGCATGTCCAGAAGACTGCTCTCCCCGCTGGAAACGAGAAGGAACCCTGGGAGGGCTCAGGCTCCAGAAGAGTATGCTTCTCATCGGAGTAACCTTGAGTGTCCCAGAACTCACCCTGATGCTAACTTAGGGTAGTCCACCTCATTCTTCATCTTTTTTTAGATTCATATATATCCATGCATGCCTGCAGGCCAGAAGAGGGCACCAGATCTCACTATAGGCAGTTGGGAGCCACCTTGTGGTTGTGGGGATTTGAACTCAGGATCTCTGGAAGAGCAGCCCAGTGCTCTTAACCACTGAGCTATCTCTCTGGCCCCTCATTCCTCATTTTTAAAGAAGGAAATGTTTCATATTTTAAATTGATAATTGTATGTATCGTCTACACTTAGGATACAATATATTGTGCTTAGTTTTTTTTTGTTTTTAGTGTGTGTGTTTGTCTATGGCCTGTGTGGTATGTGCATACATTGTGTGTGTGTGTGCTGTGACTCCTGTGGAGTCAGAGGACAACTGTGGGAATTGGGTCCCTCCTTCTACCACGTGGCCTCAGGAATCAAACTTAAGTAATGAGCAGCCGGGCGGTGGTGGCACACGCCTTTAATCCCAGCACTCGGGAGGCAGAGGCAGGCGGATCTCTGTGAGTTCGAGGACAGCCTGGTCTACAGAGTAAGTTCCAGGACAGCCTCCAAAACAATACAGAGAAACCCTGTCTTGAAAAACCAAAAAAAAAAAAAAAAAAAAAAAAAAAACTTAAGTAATGAGCCTGGTGAAAAGCACCTTTGCCTGATAACCTGATGCTACATACATACGGAGGGAACGGTTAAATCAGTCTAACTAATAATTTAATTCTCTACTTACCAGTTTCTTGTAGGGAACACTTAAAATCTAGTCTTTGTAACACACAATGTATTACATTACATTGTTATTCATGATAGCTTCCATTCCATGCTACAAACTGCTAATGTGTCTCTCCTTTTCCTTTGCCTAAATCTTTCTTTCTTCCTTTCTTTTTGGAGGAAAACTTGACTAAATCAAAACTCTCCCTTTGTTTTGCTTCATTGGTTTTTGTGGTTTTTTTTTTTTAAGTTTTTGTAGCACAGGCTAGCTTCCAACTTGTTAAGTACCTGAGGATAACCATGAACTCTTGATTCTCTTACCTCCATCGTCCTAGCGCTGGGAAAAAGGCAAACATCATCACGCCACCATGTTTGGTTGGTGTTTAGACAGGCTCACACTCCATAGCCCAGGCTGGCCAAGATCTTTCAGCTGTCTTCCTCCCCTTGCCTCCCAAGTGCTGGATTACTAACACACTTGCCTTCATGACACTAAAAAGTTCAGCTACCAGCCCAGTGGTGGTGGCGCACGCCTTTAATCCCAGCACTTGGGAGGCAGAGGCAGGCGGATCTCTGTGAGTTCGAGGCCGGGCTGGACCGATAGCCTCCGAAACAATACAGAGAAACCCTGTCTCGTAAAAACCAAAAAAATAAAAAAAAAAAAAGTTCAGCTACCGCAAACATGATACCCTTCCTCATCCTACTTGAAACTGCAATCCAGCCATACACACCTGACCATTTTACAATGCCCCCATTCAAACCTAGATCTGAGTCATTTCCCCGGGCCTGCAACTGTGTTTATGCTGTGCAATGACTACATCAATCTTAGTTAATCACTACCTATAGCACTAACAGAGGACTATAACTTAATGAATGGTAAAGGCTATCTTTTCTAGAATAGCACTCCACAAAGGCAGCGGTTCCTATTTTGATCCTCCAAGCACTTCACACAGTGTTAGGGAGAAAGTAATTCCATGGACTAAAAATGTACACGATCCATCAGTCAATCATGTAGTGCAAACACTTGGGAGAAATCAAGGGGGGGGGGTTTTATTTACTCCTGTTGTTCATGACCTTGAATCTCACCTCAAATTCTCACTAACAAACTTCCTAATCCCTAACAGTGATTCCATCTTGTTCTCCAAGAATGAGATTTCTGCAAAAGTCAAGGGCCTCTGGCATTACATGCAAGACAGTTTAAAATATTCTCTGTGCCAAGCAGTGGTGGCGCACGCCTTTAATCCCTGTGCTTGGGAGGCAGAGACAGGTGGATCTTTGTGAGTTCAAGGCCAGCCTGGTCTACAAAGCAAGTTCCAGGACAGCCAGGCTGTTACACAGAGAAACCCTGTCTCAAAAAACCAAAAACATACAAGTTCTCTGCAGAGACCACACTGTCTGTAGAGATACTCTCAGCTGCTTGTGACCAGGACTCCTGCCTCATTACAAGTCCCGGCAGCTCCTCTCAGAGACAATCTGCACAGAGAGGGCTTTCAGAACTATGAGAAAATTGAACATGAGATGTGAATTTGGCAGAGGGGAAAATCATCCTGAAAACCATCTTGTGTCTGCAGCTAAGAACCAAATAGGTATGTTGATAATGTTGTGTCTTCTACCAGGAGTTTAGAACAAGCACTTATTTCTCCTTAGCAACATAGACTCCGTTACTGTCACCATGGAAAAATTCTAAGTACCAAACTCAACTTCTTCCCAGAGTCCTTAGAAACCTCACAGCTGCAGAGAATACCCCAAAGTCCTTGCCTTTTACTCTTTCTTCTCGTAACCTGCCCTTCCGGATGAAGGGAGAATGTACCATGCCGTGTTCTCACTGAACTCCAAGCTGTCTTACTAAGTCCCATTAGCTCTTTTCCATTTATAGACCAAGGTTTCTTGCCAGTGAGAGCAGGGACAGCTGCAGCGCTATATTTCCAGGATGTCCTCATCAATGACCTGAACTTCAGGGTGTATCTATCTAGCATGTGCCCCAGACCCCAAAATTACTTTTAGGTTTGAAAACAAAACCCTGCCTTCTATCTATACAAAGAATGTACATGCATGTTTTTATCTATGCCCACCATAGCTTTTGACTCTTAGCAGTCCTTGAATATTGGCCTTAAGGACAATGAAGCCATTCTCCAAACCTGCTCATTGAGACAGACATCAAAGAACAAAGCCTTCGATGAGCCTGAGACTCTCGTAGTAGCAGTTTGGTTTCCAAGAGCTCCCCTAAACCTTGTGTGAGGATAAAATTTCTATGGTATTTAGGGAAGGCACGGAAAATTTTACTTTCGACCTGATCATATTTATTTCTTAGATTTTTATTTATTTTATGTATTATGGATGTTTCCCCTGCATGTATGTCTGTGTACCACATGCTTGCCTGTGGCCCACGGAGGTCAGAAGAGGGTGTCTGATCCCCTGGAACTAGGATTACAGATGATTGTGAGCCACCATGTGGGTGTTGGGAATGGAACTCAGGTCCTTTGTAAGAGTATCAAGTGCTCTTAACCAGCCCCTGAGTTGGCCATGTTAAAAGGTCAGACTGCAGGACAGTCGCAGACAACACATGTAGCAAATCTAATCTATGCATTCAACCCAATTAACCATCTCAGTTGGGAGTGGCACAAGTTGGGATGAACTCCATACAAATGATCAGATTGAAAAGTGAGCATCTTGGTCACCCGACACATAAATATAGCTTTAAAGTACAAATTTCTGAATTAGTGAATCTGCCTGTTTTGTTTTTCTAGGGTCTCACTTTGTACAAACCCAAAGTTGGCCGCCAAATCGCTGTCCTCCCCAGTGTTGGGATAACAAACATGCATCATGGTACACGTGGCATGAATCTGCTTTCGGATTTTTGAGACAGTGTTTCTCTGGGCCCTGGCTGTCTTGAACTCACTATGGAGACCGCAAAAATCACCTGCCTCAGCCTGGGATTAAAGGCGTGCACCACCACACCCAGCCCATTAGTCAGCTTCTCAGAGGCTCTGCTTTTCCAGTCCGTCTCATCACAACGCCCCACCCTAACCATCAATAATTACTGAGTTTCCAAATCCTCCTTACCATGAAAAGATCCTCACTACCAGCTAACCTTTGGAGGGCTCATCTCTGAAATGGGGTCAAGAGGGAACTTCCTACTGGCTTTTGTCACGGGACAGCCCTAAGACTACCCCCTAATGGGCAGACATCGCAAGAGCATTAATTCCCCTCTCTGAACACTGCAAACGGATGGCAACGGAACTGTTAGACGTTTATCATCAAACTGCCATTCACGCATTTCAATGGCTTCAGAACTCTATCCAGCACACCCCAAGGCACCCAGGGAGCCTTGTTGCCAGGAGTACGGGGATCCCATTCCCCACTATGCACCTGCAACCTTCAGGTTTCCCAAAATCTGGCTGGGGAGCAGCAACCCACTTCCCCCTCAGAGTAAGCTTCTTTCCGATAAACCCACTAAGCCTTCGAAACAACAACAGGGGAAGAGAGATGTGAAGTACGGCAGAGGCTCCCAGACGCCTCTGTAAGGTTGATGGAATGTGTCCCGACTACTCTACTCACCAGGAAAGCAGAGAGGATACTCTGCAGGGCGTCCAGCTTCTCTTCCTCCTCCTCCTCCTGAAGGACACCCAGAATGTAAGTGCCGTACACGGCTCGGTCCACTCCCAGAGCCTCCAACCGTCCGTCCAGCCAGGATCCAAAACCCCCGCCATCGCCTTCACCGAGGACTGCCGCGGCCACTTCACTGGGCGCCGCCATGCTGGGGACAGGGTCCTACCGGACCCGGGGCTGCCTACCGCAGTGCCTGACGGGCCGCGCCACTGGCCCAGCGCGCATGCCTGGAGAGGGAGCCTCCCCCCACCCCCTCCCGCGCGCCGGGCTATGGGGATGATCCGGGAGGAGATGCACCAGTCTCCCAGGCCTGATGGTGTATCCGTGGTCCCGTGGTCCCCCCCAGCAGGCGAGTTTTTAACTGACTGGTTAGAGCTGGCAACGATCAGATTCGGTGTCATGGTCCGCCACGTGACGGAGAGCTCAAAGGAGCGGCGCTCACCATGGATTCCAGCGCTTGTTCTGCGCACAGGCGGGGAGCCCTTGTGGGATGAGAAGCTAGGATGCCTGCCCATCGAGTCTCGTGCCCGGAATTCCACCGTCGCTACCATTCCAAGCCCCCCTCCCTGAAAACCCAAATTCCAGAAGAGGGTCTCTTGACTCATCACCCTGCGGAGACACATAGTAGGTGCTCAACAGCTGAACGGCAGCCTCAGAGTCATTGCTGTCACTCATTGCTTTGTTTCCACAGGAACACCTTTGGAGGGCGGCTTAGGGAGTTGTGATAAGACACCGTGACGGAAAGCAACTTGGGGAGAAAAGGATTTATATTTCAGCCGCCACTCTCAGGTCACACTCCCATCACTGCCGGGACGTCCCAGGATCTCAAGGCAGGAAGCTGGAAGGAGTCCTGGGACGTCACCGCTTAGTGGCTTGTTCCTCATACTTTGCTCAGCTCACTTTCTTATACCGTCCAGGACACACCTGCCCAGAAGTGGCACCTCCCGCAAGAGGTTGGGCCCTCCCACATCAATCACTAATCAGTAAAATGCCCCACAGGCCAATCCTTATTGAGGGCATTTTCTTCCCAAATGACTCTAGCATGTGTCAAGTTGACAGACAATAGTCAGTACAAGAAACTTATTTTTGTCCTCTGCCCAGTTTTCATGAAGTATTTGTCGCGATCTTCCCAACAACCCTTCCAGAAGATGCATATTTTATGTTCAATTAAAAGATAAGGAAACTCAGGTGGTGGTGGTGGCCCATAACTTTAATCCCAGCATGCGAGAGGCAGAGGCAGGCAGATCTATGAGCTCGAGGCCAGCATGGTCTACAGAGCGAGTTCTAGGACAGCCAGGGCTACCCAGAGAAACCTGTCTTGAATCCTGCTCCCCCCAAAACAAGAACAACAACAAAAAGATAAACTATACACAGCCAGAGGGAACCTAACTGGATGACAGGACTCTACCAGCAGATTCTCCAAGTGCTTCTGCTAACTGCAGAATACCATCTCTGGCCAGAAATGAATTACTTGGGTCTGCTATACCCAAACTACAGAGGAGGAGGCTATGCAGAGGCCTTAGTTCAACTGCTTCCGGCACTGGATACTTACTAAATACATTCACAGTGACATTGTTGCAAGACAGAAAATTCAAAGATGATGGTTACAAAAGTCTGTTCTCAGGAGCCAGTCAGTCCAACGGTAGTAGGTGTTAACAGAAATATCGACAATTTTAGCATAGTTCTTATTTTATGTGTATGGGTGTCTTGCTTGCATGTATGGCTGCATATCGTTTGTGCCTGATACCCTTATGGAGGTCAGAAGTGGGTGGACAGGTCCCCCGAAACAGATGTTTGTGAGCCACCATGTGAATACTGCAAATCAAACATTGGTCCTTTGGAAGAGCAGCTGAGCCATCTCTCCAGCCCAGAGATAACTTTTTTTTTTTTTGTGGGAGGTTGTTTGTGTGGTGGTTGTGGTATTAAGACAGGGTCTTGCTATGTGTCCAGACTTGCCTGGGCTCCATCTATTTTTTTTTTTTTTTTTGGTCTTGAACTTGTAAACTATGTCTCTGCCTCTCAAGTGCTGGGATTTTAGGCCAGCACCACCACACATTAGTTGAGATAAGTGTTTTGTGAAGGTTGTGACGGTCCCTAAGTCACAACGTTAATTTTGCCTGTTGAAGCTCATTGGAAGGTAGGACGGGAGAATTGAGGAATCTAGGAACACCTCTCAGCAGTGGTGGGAAGTAAGAGAACCAGGCATGGTAGCATCTCTAATCCAGGGATCATGAGGACAGACCAGCCTGACTGTGGTACAGGAAACTATGAAAAGTCTTGCTAGATGCCTCTAGAGATCGCAGTAGCTGGAACAATGGGGCTTAAACAGGAAATGCCCAAGAGAGATGAGAGAGGGGGGTAAAGGGATTGTAAGGGCCTCTTCAAAGAATTCTGCACTCTTATTCATTTTGAGATAAAGTAAATGGATAGGCACTAAGTGGAATGCCACAAATACATGTAGAAATGCACAATTTTATAGTTTTAGTCTCATGGCTTCTGAATGCTAAGAAAGAATATGGTATCAAAGCTGGGTGGTGTAGCGGTGCACAGATTTAACCCCAGCATATGGGAGGTGGATACAGGCAGATCTCTGCGAGGTCAAGGCCAGCCTGATCTATGTGATGAGTTCCAGGACAGTCTGAGCTATACAGTGAGACACTGGGTTTTTTTTTGGGGGGGGGAGTATGGCATTTAAAATGTTGGTTACCAAAGACTCATCCTTCTTCATGTCCCCCAGATACACCTTTTTCTTGTTCTTTGGGTACTGAGGATTAAATCCAGGCCCTCACACATGGTGAGCACTTTGCTCTTCTGCTAAAATATATATTAAATCACAGACGCTTCTTCTAACCCAGTAACTATCTTATAAGTAGGTGGGTCTTCATCAGTAAGTAGCCACCTCAGTTAAGCATAGTTTGAGGTCAGTGTAGAGTCCTCAAGTCAGGCAAGTTTCACATACAAACATCTTATTTTCAAGAAGCAGAAGCTGGGAATGATGGTGCCTGCTTATGATCCCTGCACTTGGCAGGTAGAGTGGGGAGTCAGTTTAAGTCCGGCTTGAGCTACTCAAGACTTCCAAAAAAAAAAAAGGAAAACAAACCTCACAGAGTCAGGTGTAGTTTCAAAAAGCAGACTTAAAAAAAAAAGATTGTGTGTGTGTGTGTGTGATTGTGTGTGTGTGTGTGTGTGATTGTGTGTGTGTGTGTACATGAACGCATGAGTTTGAGAGCACACCTGGGAATCTAGAGACTTTGGATCTCTTGAAATTGGAGTTACTGTTGTGAGCCACTTAATGTAGGTACTGGAACCTGACATCATCTGGAAGAGCAATGCACACTCTTAACCACTAGATGTGTCTCCAGCCCCAAATGCAGAGTCTTGAATACCATTGTCCAGTTTTCCCTAACAATAGCATCTTCCATATCTGTAGTACAGTATCGAAATCAACAAGCTGAGTTTGGGTGAGGTGTCACCTATGATCCCAGCTGCTGAGTGGGCAGAGGCCAGAATTCCATGCCCCAAAGCATGAACAGTGAATCGGGACATCATCTCAAGAAAAGAAGCAGGGCCAGTGGGAAAGCTTCAGGGCCAGGAGGATGGCTCTCTCACTGGGAAAGACTCATAGCTGATGAGCTGAGATGTAACCCTGGAATCTACGTGGGAAAAGGAGGGAATAACTCCTGATGTCCACACTCAAACCTTGGTGCACACTCAATAAATGAATGAAGAAGAGTAAAAACTGGGAATTTGTTACTGCTACAATCACAGACCTCTTACCATGTTTATTTGCTTATTTATTATGTATGCAGTGTTCTGCATGCATGCCTGCAGGCCAGATAAGGGAACCAGATTGTCGCACCTGCTGTGCGGCCTGCATCCGAGAATGTAGCGAGGTGGTCGGGATAGATGACACAGAGACCGGTCGGTTGCTTTAAGAAAACTTTATGCTTCCCAAGTCAGCTTAGGAGGAGATTCCAAGTCCGCTTAGGAGAGAGAAGTCTCAGGAGAAGTCTCTCCAAGAAAAAAGAGCTTCCCTTTTTAAGGACTTTTGCCATCCATTTACATACCATTCTTTCCAGACTTCTCACCCTCCTGGCTGGTGGTTTAATCTCCGGCCCCAGAATCGGGGAGACACCGCGGGGGGGGGGGGACAGGAAGAGGCATCTAGCCGTAGGGGTGTGAAAGTCATGGTATCTCAGTGAGCGAGCCCTTATCTGAGCCCTGTCAAGAGCTTTAAAGCACTGAATTGTTTTCAGTAAACATTACACAGATGCCTGCTCCCAGGCCGAAGGGGAAGTGGGTTTCTGCTCAAGGTCTGGTGTCCCCACACCAGATCTTATAATGGATTGTTGTGAGCCACCATGTGGTTGCTGGGAATGGAATTCAGGTCCTCCGGAAGAGCAGCAGCCAGTTCTCTTAACCGCTGAGCCATCTCTCCAGTCCCATCATCTTAATTTTTTAAGAATTATTTTACTGGGGCTGGAGATGTGGTTCAGCAGTTAAGAGCTCTAAAAAATATTTTACTTATTTTATGTGTATAGACATTTTACCTGCATGTATGTCTGTGTACCATTTATGTACCTGATACCCATGGAAACCAGAAGAGGGCAACAGATCTTCTGGAACTGGAGTTACAGAAGGTTGTAAGCTATGATGTAGTTCCTGGGAATTAAACCCTGGGTCCTCTGAAACAGCAGCCAGTATTCCCAACTGCTGAGCAATCTCTCCAGTCCTATATTATAATAATTATTTCTGTTGAAGGTTTTGAACCCAGAACCTCACCCATTCTAAGTACATACATTATTACTTGCAAAGTTTGTTGTTTTGGGATTTTTTTTTGAACAAGTTTACAAACCATGCAGATTTTCCACACATAAATATTAAGAGTATCCTCATTAGTTCACCTTTAAAGCATCAGTGGTGCATGTCAAAAATACTCATATAAGCCGGGCGTTGGTGGCGCACGCCTTTAATCCCAGCACTCGGGAGGCAGAGGCAGGTGGATCTCTGTGAGTTCGGGGCCAGCCTGGTCTACAGAGTGAGTTCCAGGACAGCCTCCAAAGCCACAGAGAAACCTTGTCTCGAAAAACCAAAAAAAAAAAAAAAAATACTCATATAAGCAGACAAATACCGAACAGAAGAACAGGAGAAAAATCAACATGAAGAGTATAATTTAGTGGTAGAGTAGATCTAGGCTTTAGATTTGATCCCCAGTACTGT